GGATTTCCCTTTACAGTGAATATTTTAAGAAATATTAAGTTATGGTGAGCCCCTTTGTCCCAGAAGATGGTGCAGAAATGACCACAATTCAGCATTTACAATATTCAAATGGTGTTATAAAATGGAATGTAGTAGCAAAATAATGAATTGACCGGGGGTGAAATCAGGTTGGTAGTTTAAAGGGCCTCTGGCTAGTCTTCAGTGAAACGGGTATCAAGAAGCAGCCTTGATTATGTGGTAGTGAGCACTTGTTTTTTGTGGGTGCAGAAACCTCTGCTCAGCTCTGAGTCACAGTAGCATTGGACTAAATTACTCTTGAGGTCTTTCTAGTCCTGTGACTCTATGATCACTCTGATATTTATAACTATATATTACCTTCTGCAAGGAGAGGCTATACTGTAACCAAAGAATAGAGAGGTGAAAAGCATAGACAAATGAAATGGATACAAGGCAGGAGACTTTCTTCTTTTCCTTGGCATATATTTTTAAGCTCTCGTTTTGAGGTTTGGGGGGAAAAAACGTAATTTCACATAAGCCTCAGACTCAGTGCTGCCTCCTCTGAAATAGGAGAGAATTGCCATGGTCTTCAATGGAAACAGCAGGCTTAGTCTTCATAGTTGTAATGAATACAAGCTCCTGAACACTCAGTTCTGCTTGGAAACTGATGGGAAGTGTGATCTTGTGGGCAGGACTCCACAGGTCTTAAGTCCATTCCCAGCTCTGCTACTGACTTGCTGGGTGACCTTGGGTAAGTCCCTTTACTTCTCGGGGTCTTTTCCAGTCTTTGTTTGTTTGGCTTATTTGTTCAGATGGGTAGCACTTTTGGGCATGGACAGTGTCTTTCCATTAATTTGGATGGTACCAAGCACAGCCAAGCCCAGATCTTGGTTTGGGCCAGTTGACACAGTTAATCAGTATTGCACAGATACTTGTTAGGCAAAATAGACCTTACTAATACTAGACTAAATGGTAGCTGAGAGGAAGAGAAAACTATTTCCAGAATCTCTTACCTGTCTCTTCCCTCCCTTCATGAATTGGGTTACATCAGGGCTGTCCAGCTGGCAGCCTGTGGGCGGCATACAGTCCCCAAAGGATAAGCATGGGGCTCAGGTATGGTCACTACTGTCCACCTCCCTGCCATTGTTCCTGCCATGGAAGCCAGGTTCTTCAGGCTCCCCTGCCCTCCTCCAGTCTCCCCCGCCCACCTCTGGGGGCTGGGAAGTCAGGGGGAGGGAGCTGGGGTGCCCGTGCTGTATGCATGGTAGGTAAAGGAGCCAGGCTGTTGGAGCTGGCCATAAGAGGCAGGTGGCTGGGAGGGGAGAGGAGTGCTGTGGTGAGGGTAGCCAAGCTGCCTGTGATGCAAGGGGGGCTGCCAACATGGTTAGGGAGATCCCCTGATTTACAGCACATGCCTTGTGTGGCCCTTAGGACTGCAGCCCATGGCCCTCAGCTGCTGAAAAGTTAGACTGTCTTGCATTATATAAAGATGATGGTGATTTTCCTTGAAGTTCTGGCAGCAGATCTGTAAGTATTTTATTGTCATAGTTATTGGGCAAGTTATGCCTTAAATACCCTTTTCATTCCTCTCAGCTTCTCCCTTTGGTGATACTCTACTGTCCAGTCACTCCTACATCTCTTGGGTCTCAGTACTTTCCCCTCCCCTCCCCTGCCCTCCCTCCCTTTATCATCTGTGTTACCCTGGCAGGCCCAGTAGAGTTTTGGCAGGTGCAAGTCCTTTTTCTGGGAAGCCTGCAACAGCAACTGCATTCAAGTGATTCAGGAACAGCTTTTTCAAAACAAAGCATTTATTTAATTACCCAAAGGTACTTAACCCATAGAGCCAAGGGCAAAAAATAAAACCAGTCTATATGCCTAATTTTTCTTCACTTCAATCTTCATCTTCGTTTTCTACTTTTGCAGTTTTCTGTTAGCTCAGTTACCTCCATCTCAGGGGTGAGAGAGGCAGGATGCCCTGCTGAAGTGCGTTCTCCTTATATCCTGTACTGGTAGAATAATTAGCAAAATTGCTCCCTGGACAAGCCCCGCCAGTGACTCACTCAACCATGTGTACATTTTGTGACCTGCCTCTTTCTGGCTGGGTTCCTCCTTTCCTCCAGGGCACAGGGATGGGAAGAGTAAACCTTGCCAGCCTGCGTGGAGCCGTTATGGAATATTCTCAATTAATAGCTTCTGTTGTTGCCTGAAGGACCATTGGTCATAAGCTGTACCTTATCTTTTGCCATTGTTTTGTTTTGTTGTCGGTTCCTCCCCACTCTGTTATGCCTGTTTAGATTCAAGAGCAATAACCACCAGAGCATCTGAGCTGCATACATTGCTTATAAATATATACAAGCAGTCCTCAGAATTAGGACACTATTGGTTCCTGGAAAACACGTCTTAAGGCAACAAGTTGTAACTCGGAATCAATTTTCTCATAAGAAACAACGTTATAAATGGGAGATTTGTTCCTGAACCAAGGCCTGATACCCTATTTTCACTAAAAATACCCCAGAATTTTGTGCTTGATCAATTATAGATGAATAATATAGTTACATTAATGTATTTATACTGTAAATAGCAAGCATATTGATTTGGAAGGGCTTCTTTGAGGTGACTTTGCTGGACTTTTTGAAGGGCTCTTGGCTGGAGTCTTCCCAGGAGTCTTGGCTGCAGGTTTTTCTGGAGTTTTATCTGCTTTCTTAAAGAAAGTGTCCAAGGAAGTTTGGACAGATGTTCTCCAGGGAGATGGGCAACGCAGCGAACTTGTTCACTGGTGTGACGTCAGATCAAGCGTTGTAAAGTCAAAACTGACATCATAAAGTTGAAACGGTGTCAATTTATAAACGTTGTAAGTGTGAAACATTGTAACTTGAAACATTGTAAGTCAAGGACTGCCTGTACTACACTCTGTCTCCATGCTGACCATGCCTATGTTGAAGCTCACATTACAGTGGTGGTTTTTCTTCAGCTGTGCTATGCCAGCTCAGCTGACCTGAAAAATAAGAGATCTTGCACATGTTGTGTGGAAGTTTCTATCCAGGAAGTCCTTGTGGCTTGCTTTTCGTGTGAAGCCTGGAAACATGCTTGAAAATTTTATTCAACAAAAAATGCTAGAGAACACCAGAAAATAATAGAACAATCCAGCTTAGTGACCGCCAAACACTGACTGGGCTGAGCTGAGCTATGGCCCCAAGTGAGAAGCATACAAGAAAATAAACATAATTTAGTAGGAAGCTGAGGAACTATCCCTTTTTGTCCCCACTCTCCATACAATGGCCTGTGCTGCTTCTAGGCTACGCGGCATAGTAGGCAAGTGCAGAAGCCTCTTCCCCAACTACTCTCTTTAATAGGATACCCTCCCCTTCCCCTCAACTAACAGGTTCTGAAATGAAATGCATCATGTGGATGTGGCAGTCTTCAAAGCAAAAGAGCTTCCAAATTGCACTGTCAATCTGAAAAAATGTGCGCCAGGAGAAGCTATATGATTTGAAATAGCAGAATATAAAGAGCAGGGTAGACAGATGCTTACTTGGAATATTTTTTTTTAGTCGGAGATGATCCTGCCTTGAGCTGAGCACCAGCCTAGATGATCTCATGAGATCCCTTCCAGCCCTACCTTGCTATGGTCCTATAATAAAGGCCTGTGTTCTATGTGGTATATAGTTCATGATGTGTCTGCCTTTTTCTGAGAGACCTGAGGAAGGGTACTTCATACCCAAAAGCTTGTCTTTATCTCTTTTGGTCTAATAAAGGATATTGCTCACAAAAACTTTTCTCTTGTGCATTTTTCCTGAACCCTCACAATTACAATGTCACCCCAACTCCAGCAGAATATAGACAATTTTGTATTATATCATCTGTTTCAAGAATCAGTATCTGAAAGAAGCATGATGCTGCTCATGTTTTTTTTATATGTCAAGACAAAAAGAATCTCACAGGATTATCTCACAGTTATGCAAGCAGCTCTGCCCAAGAGTGACACAAAATGCATGTGAAAATGAGGATGCTTTGCTGCCAAAAAAGCATGTTTCTACTTGAAAGGAATGAGGGAGAATTTGCAGCATTTTCCAGGTGTGAATATAGGAGCTACTGATGATATCTGCAGGTGCTGACAGGCACACTCAGGTTTCACTTGATCAGCATGATGAATTCCTAGGAGAGCTTTTTTTACGCTGCAAAAATTCAAGCAATGATTTAATGGAGATTGACTTCCAGTTCACTGTACATATCACTTTTGGGGGGAAGGGTGTTCATCTTTATATTGGACTTCTCATCAGTTGCATGCTCCCTACTTGTCACATCCTGCTACCTCAGCTCCCAGTTTTAAAGAGACCACAGGTTGAAGCATGCACATTGTACATGTCAGTGCATCTTTTGGCTCAGTGTCCTGCTCTGTCTATTATTTATGTTAAACTAATACGATTGTTTGTAGTGCTAGCTATTCATATTGGATTGAACAAATGGGATGGAGAGAGAGAATCCAAATGAAGGAAGAAAGAGGAAGAAAAGAAGGAATATGTATGTTCAGTGAGGCATACATATTTTTTAAACAATAAACCAGTTACTAAATTGTGTTAAAAGCTTCAGCAAAGCATCTAAAGAAGCCCTTCAACCTTCAGTGTGATTTAAGCATATTTGCTGAATTGACTTTTAACCTCCTGAATTTTCTTCCTTAAAAATACTGAGATAATATCTGCAAATAATATAGCTAGCTAGAACATATCTTGAAAAAAATTTTTTTGAATGTCAACAGTAGCATGTTACAGGGGAGGGAAGGGTGGAATGAGAGAGAGCAAAATGTAATAAAAACAATCTTTTAAAATGTTCCTAGCATGTACAAATATAAAGCAGCTTGTGATCAAGGGATGCTAGCTTGCTTACTGTTTTCTCTTGTTTTAGGTCCAGTTTTATTAGTATTTGTGAATTTGGTGAGGTAAGTCCAGAGGAATATGCATTGCTGAGTGCATAAGTAACTCCATTTTTGGAATGTGTTTTGACAGTGTTCATTCATTCCTCCCTGTGCAAGAGAAAATCAGAAGAACTCTGAAATTGTTGCACACTGGCAGGAGTACTGGAAAGAGGAAGTTGGTTCACAGCCATTTACATGCTATTTTAACCAGCATCTAAGGTAAGTAACCACCTACACTTACATAGCTAGACATAAATGCACAGCCTTTTCATACTCTGCTCTTTTTTGTTTTTATTTTAAGCAAAATGTTTGAAGAGTTTATAGCTTGTTGGTAAAATATGAGAGAATTCTTGCTGCTAGTGAAAACTCTCGAAGATACAACAGTGTTTTTCATTTTGGTTGCTAAAATTTTACCTGAAGCTGAAAGTAAACTTTCTCCAGAATAAGTGTTGTAAAAAACTGACTTTTACTACCAAAACACCAAATTCTGTGCCTTGACAAATTTAAGGTTTCTTCCCAAAAGAGGAAGGAATCCTACAAATTAGTGCCACTAAGAGGAACTGTATTCACTCGGGAAATTAATCAAAGCTTTGCTACAGATTAGATTAATGAATGTTCACAAAACAATCATTCTTCATTCATTTATACTTGCAAAGTGGAAGGTTTTAGCTTCAGGCAAGTCCACTTATGTGACTAGTTTTCTGTTTGGGGACCTGTTCAACTTTCATTAACAGTAATGGGATTTATACACATGGTGAGAGATGAATAGCTTAAACCAGTCAACCTGCTGCCTCATATTTATTTTCCTGGCATAGGAATTTCTGGGATAGGAATTGATCTTTGTCATTGTTCTTTTTTTTCTGTTTGTCTATTTCTCTGTGGTGACCAGAAATATATGCTATACATCTTCAACAGAACTCTCTGAAACTAGTGTTTAATTATCAGAAAGTTGTAGATGCACTGAAGAAAGTTCAGTGGCAAGCAGCAAAGAACTGATGATATGTTTGCACAAGATGAGCACAAGAAATCAATAATCCCAGCTCTAAATAGGTATAGTGTAAATAAATCTATGAGCCAGCAAGCACTTAATGAGATGCTTAATTTTACTCCCAGAAGGAATTCTGTTGGAATTAGAAGGGCTGTTCGTGGTAGTCCAGTGTAAGCACCTACACATGGGTAAGTATTTGAAGGATCAAGACCTAAGGGAAGAAGGGTAAAAATTCTCAAATATCTGAAGGGAGTAAAGAAGGGGGA